TTATATTCCTTCAGGAAGAAAGCAATCAAACTTCAGTGACAGTGCATATTACAAACCATAGATTATTGTATAACCATATCACAATGTAGACAAAACTATTGACCCAGCTGAACAATATCAGCAAACATGATTACGTTGATATGCCACCTGTGATGAAAACCTCACCTAGCTTTCTTCCAAGGACTGATAACTTCATAACCATACTTTTCTCTCTTCAAAATAAAGACTTTGAAATACCATCTATAATATGGACAAAACTTATTTTAAGTATCACAAAATATAGTATCTATGTATAGCTCAGCCATTTTTATCTCCAAAGGATGTTATAGAACAGATCCGAAGGACATTTGAAAGACCTGTGAAATAATAAAATAAAAAAATACCCTTCCTTTTGGTTACCAATATTAATTTTTGCTTCTACGGGTCTCCAAATTAGGATTATTGGTCCTAACACAGACATACTATCCAAGCATGATCAAACCATAGCCTATATATGCAAAATAAATATCATGCTCAGCAAAGGTGGTAATTGTGAATCTAGAAATTGAGAAATCAGCACCCTCTCTCTAGTTTTGTTCTTTTAAGGGCTATTTTCCCACTTGTATAATATTCCCAGAAATTGTCCTTTAGAAATACCTCCAGCTCTGTTTAGGTTCTACTTTAGGCTTCAAGTTCAGTAATTTATGCCAGGTATTACCACAAGGTGTTAAAACTGTAGCTTGCCACTAATAGTAAATTACATAACTCCTAACTTGATCAAGTTGAGAAAGTCACGAACATAGGATGGTCAATATGTACTTTATTCTCAAAATGTACAAGTTGATTATAAAAATGTATATATTTATGTTAAGATGCTTTCAAACATTCTACATTGAATGATGTCAATTAATAACAAATATATATCACTTGTAATATATTTAGTATGTTTGTGTGTTGAAGCAAACAGACAAACAATGAATTTTGTAGTTTCAACACTGAATATCGGAATGACTGTGACTACATTATGTTTTCTGGTGCTAGACACTGATCCTTGCGTCTCAGAAAATTTAGGGATTTTTATGCTCTATAGTTGTCACAATACCTGTCCCTCATGATGCCATGCAGTTGCAGAAAGGATGTCTCTTCTGTATTCTAATGCACACCCAGTTATCCCTAGCTTCCTGATGCCTCATTATGACATCCTGTATGACATGGAACCCTTCCATTGGTCTCCTTTTATAATGTTAGTCTAGGTCAGGCATAGGCAACCTTTGGCACTCCAGATGTTTTGGACTACACCCTCCTGATGCTTTGCCAGCATTATTGGTGCAAGAGTATTATGGGGGATGTAGTCCACAACATCTGGAGTGCCGAAGGTTGCCTACCCCTGGTCTAGGTGGTGCTTTTTGATGATGTATACACACTTGTGACATCATGGTCTACTGTAACCAATCACAACCCAAAATAGGATATATATTTCCTGGTTGTCCTGGTTGTCCTTGCCCTGTCATGTTTCTTGTTACCTGAGAGTGTGTAATACTGTGGATTTACGGTTTTCTGACCTCGACTTGTTTGACTATTCTTGCTCTCTGTTATCCTGACCTTGGCTTATCAATTCTGTGTATACCTGTTATCCTAGATCTCACCCTGTCTTTCATTTTGTCTCTGTTTGGTTGCAGACATTTCTTTTACCTGTTTCAGGCACTAGCCCGACCACTCTAAGAACGTCTTTCTTTACAGTTTCCTTTAGGTTTTCATGTTAGGATATCTCCATTCCTGACAAATATCCATACAGATTACAACAGATTTACTATAAATAGGGAACATTGAATACCTGTTATGTTGGCAAACATATGAATTCTGATTAGAATAATAGGATTCATTTAAGGTGACAGAAATCTACCAAATACTCAAAACTCTTTACAACAATATCATTCATAAGAATATTTCTCATTACATGTCTTTAACCTTGATATGGATACACAATAATGCCACCAATACCCGATCTCAGATTATTGAGATCTGGCCATATAGATCAGAAACAAATGACAGTGAAAAAAAACAAAAATAAAAAACAACTCTCCTTGCAAATCTCATTTTAATGAACTGCTAGAACAGGGGTTCTCAACCCAGTCCTCAGGACCCCCTACCAGTCCAGGATTTGGGGATTACCTGGGTGTGTCTCAGGTGTTTAGAAAAAGGGAAAAAAACACCTTAGACTCTAAGGTGTTTTTTTTTTCTTTTTCTAAACACCTTAGACACACCCAGGTAATCCCTAAACCCTGGACTGGTAGGGGGTCCTGAGGACTAACGTTGAGAACCCCTGTGCTAGAAGGTCATATTTTGGCACAAAATGGCATAAGCCACTGGAGCTTAATATTATTTGTCCTCCGGGAGGCATAACCACCTAGCAAAGCTAGTGGGTATGCGGCAGCCTCCCGGAGTCAAATGCCAGAGCTGAAAAGGCTCGCGCTGTGCATCTGCACAGCAACAGCCTTTCAGCCAATCAGGTAATCAGGAGAGCTGTGCTGAGCGCGGGAATCCTGATTACCTCAGATTTTTTAAAATGGCATCATTGATGGAGGACTCTATTTCTGTGTCTGCCACAGATTTAGTGGATGCCTCTCTTAAAGGCAGCCCCATCAATGTTAGAAAGCTCCATAAGAGAGCTTTCCTTGCCAGGGATCTATCCTCTTCATCATCTGAGGAGGATTTGGTCCCAGTTTTAAATAAAAAGCATAAAGGAAGACGGCTGGTCTCTTCCGCCAGTTCCTCGTCTGAGGAAAACTTCTCCGCTCCTCCTTCCCCTCATACTCGTTTGAGTAAGCGAAAATTTAAGGGGACAGGACCTCAAAAAAGGAATAGCGTGTTTCCCTCGTTTGAGCACCAGAAACACCTCCCAGAGGAAAAGGGCAAATCTCGTTGGAGGTTAGATAGTCCCTCTCCTTCCTCTTCTAGAGCGTTCGCTCACTCTTCTTCCCAAAGCCGTCCCAGTTCCAGATACGGCTCTCCAGAAATAGACTGGGAATCCGAGGAAGTGGTTCGTTCAGCAGCTTCCACTGAGCGAGGGAAGCTAAGCAATGTTCAGATGGCCAGAGTAAGTCTCCTAGGAAAGACTCTCCCATCAAAATTATTTCACTCCAGATGGGCTATGGAGCACGATTCCGAGGTTAGAGATTTTGCTAAACTAGCCTTCAGATCCCCCTTGGTTAAGGAAGATGACCTTCTCCTCAGGAACCACATCGGTATCCCGGACATTCAGGCTCTAATGGCCCCAGAGGTAGACCCTTCGCTGTTATCCATCACAGGGAGCAGCGTATCCTCTGATCCCACAGACCAGACTTTTCGCAATATACAGTTTAAAATTGCTGATGCTGTGGGACCACTATTACTGATGCTGGATAAAGCAGAAAAAGAAGGCAATGCTCAGAAACCTTCCACTTCATCCCTGTTAGCATCTAAGATGGCCCTTTTAAAAGCGTCTGGCAGGGCAGTGCTAATTATTGGCCAATCCTTTAATTACATTTCAAACATCCGCAGATCCCGCTGGCTCCATGCAGCTGGTCTGTCCGACCTAGCCCCCAAATCGCATAAGTTCCCAAATTTGGAGGATTCTTACCTATTCGGTCCCTCGTTCATTCAGGAGGTTAAAGGCCGTTACAAGGCAAGGAGATCCTTTTCAGAACTCAAGAAGTCCGTCCCTGGCTACAAGAAGCCCATTCGGACGGAGGGTCGCCCCTATAGGGCTGCAGGAGCGTCCCGAGAAGCCTCTCACCAGGCCCAGTACCGCCACTACAGTGGAAGACATAAGCTCCCAGGCGGCGGCAGAGGAGCGCATTCCAGAGGCGGTTCAGCTTCCAAAAGGAAACCCATGCATTCAAGTGAGTGTGCCTCCTCATATGCCACTAAATTGGAAGGATATTTCCTCAGACAAATGGGTTCTAAAGATCTTTCAAAGGGGTTTACAACTCCCCCTGTTAAGGTTCCCAGTCCAGAAATTTGCACCCCACAGAGAGGTGAACCCAGTGCTAGATGCCTCCCTTCCCTTAGCTTTAAGTCAAGGAAAAATAGAGTTGGCAGACATGTCTATTACAGGATGGGTCAGCCCATTGTTCCCAATCCCAAAGTCAGACGGTTCCTGGAGACCGGTCCTAAATGTGAGGCCTCTGAACGCTTTCATCAAAAGGAAAAGGTTCAGGATGGAGAGTCTATCAGATCTTCCAGGCTTAGTTCAGAAAGCCTTTTTCTGCATAAAAGTAGACCTAAAAGATGCCTTCCATTCAGTCCCCATAGCCAAGAAACACAGGCGTTTTCTCAGGTTTCAGTGGAAAGGAAAGGTGTGGCAGTGGACTGTTATGGTGTTTGGCCTCTCCAACGCACCATACACATTCTCCAGAATTATGAAATCAGTGATAGCTCATGTCAGACTAAAAGGTTTCATGTGTCTATACTACCTAGACGACATCCTGCTCATGCACCCAGATGGGGAAGCCCTTGCTTCTCAAAGGGATTACCTTGCTTCCCTTTTACAAGACCTAGGATTCGTAGTAAATCTACAGAAATCAGTCCTAATTCCCACTCAAAGCATCCTCTTTCTGGGTTTCATACTGAACACCAGGACTATGTCCCTTGGAATCCCTCAAGACAAATGGGACAAATTATTGGTACATCTGAACTCATCTCTCAAGCACCAGAGTTGGTCCTTGAGAGACCTAGCAAAGATCATAGGGAAATTAATAGCTTTAACACCAGCATACAACAATTCCCCCTTACTTTGCAGAAGAAGTCAGCTGTTTTTAGGGAACCGACTGAGACAGGGTGGCCATTGGGAATCAAAATTTGTTCTCCCCAAGAAGGTCAGAGAAGAATTGAAGTCCATTCTGGAGTTAGAAATTCTATTTCCTCGTCCACTGTTAGAGCAGCCTGCGACAGTCACTCTGACGTCAGATGCCTCAAGTCACGGTTGGGGTGCGTTTACAACCCAAAACGCCATAAGAGGAATCTGGTCAGACCAAGAGAGTCACCTCCATATAAACATCTTGGAGTTACGAGCTATAAAATTAGCTCTCAAGGGCCTAGTTCCTCTAAACGAGTCACCGACATTGGTAAAAGTCCATTCGGACAACAGGACAGCGGTGGCTTATATAAACCACAGAGGGGGTACAAGATCAAGGGGTCTTTGCTTAGAGGCTCTAGATCTTTGGTCCTGGGCCTTAGCAAGCAATGTTCAGGTTTTCGCAGAATATGTTCCGGGAGAGGCGAACGAGCTTGCAGACTCTCTCTCTCGCCAAAGTTTGTCCCTGGCAACGATCCAATTAAAGATTGCTCTTTTCCAAAAGATAGAAAGCAATTTTGGCCAGAGACAGGTAGATCTGTTTGCATCCCAAACATCCGCTCAAACTCCCAGGTTCGTCTCCCGGACCTGGACAAAGGGAGCTTGGAAAATGGATGCAATGTCTTTCCAATGGACGGATGTTCCAGCCCCTTATGCTTTCCCCCCTCCATCTTTACTGATGAAAGTCCTGGAGAAGATCCGCAGGGACAGAGTGCAGAGCTTAGTTCTCGTTTACCCAGTATGGACCTCCAGACCCTGGTATCCCTTGATCCATCAGTTAGTCAAGGGAACCAAGATCCCATTAGGCATGACAGTGGACTGCTTTCAGGGAACCAGCGATCTTCTGCTCAAGCTCCCGCAGCTGATGTGGATCGCAGCCCTGGTAGGCTGTTAACACATCCCCATTTATCGGACCAGATCTTGGATATTATTAACTCATCTTTAAGACGTAGAACTAGGGTAAGATATAGAAAGATGATCGAGGAATTCAAAGAATGGGAGGTTTCTTTTCTGTCTAACACACAAGGATCTGATACCATTCCTTTGGCGTTAGAATTTCTTACCCTTAAGTTCCATTCTGGTTTATCTGTCAGTTCAATCAAGACCTACGGATCTGCCTTAAACTTCCTGATCCCCAACCTTACTCAGGATGCCCTGTATTTGAGATTACTAAAAGGGTTAGCCGTCTGCCGCCCATATACCCCACGCTACACATCTACTTGGGATGTAGATGTCTTATTAAATTTCCTAAAGTCTTTGGATAATGCTAAAATTGATTTAAGATGGACTGCTATTAAGCTGGCTTCTCTGCTGTCCTTGGCCCTGGCAGCTAGAGGAGCAGAGTTAACTCAGATCCATATTTCAGAACCTTGGTTGTCCAGGACCCCGGGAGGTTTCCATATTATACTAAAAGGCAGACAAAAAACATCCCATTTTTCTCCTGGTCCGGTAGAATTGGACTTGGTCCAAGATTCTTCCGAACCAGGATATGTTTAGTCAGTTTGTTACAATCGTACCTTCAACTTTCTGCTGGATTTAGAAACGATATCAGTCAATTATTCATTACATCAAGGAATCCCTTTCGTCCAGCCAAGGTTAATACAATTAGAGGCTGGATACTTTCCGCCATGTCTACGGCTGGAATTGATGTTTCAGTGTTCAAAAGCCATTCAATTAGGGGAGCCTCGGCTACTAAAGCAGCAGGAAAGGGCCTTCCTCTAGCTACTATCTTAAAAGCTGCAAGATGGTTGTCCAGTAAAACCTTTGTTAGATTTTACTGGAGGCCATCAGAAGTTGAACGCCTTCAGTTTCTTAGGACCACCACCAGGTGTGTGCTATTCTACCCACTAGCTTTGCTAGGTGGTTATGCCTCCCGAGGACAAATCAGAGTTTGCAGGAATCTATGATCTGCAAACTTTCTTTGTCTTAGGGATGAGCATAACCACCTAGCAATAGCGCCCGTCCCACCCTCCTCCTAGTTAAGGGTTTTGCCTGCTGGTGGTAGTTGGTTTTTCTAAAACATAAGGTTATCTGGTGATTATTCAACCTTTTGATAACTGTTCTCTGTTTTGTTTTTTACAGACTATAGCCGTACTCCAAGACAAGACCAACAAACCAAGGATCCACCTAAGTAGAAGGATTGGATGCAAGTAGTCTCGTCGGTTTAATATTCTCACGGACTCCCTGCATAAAGATTATGTCTGCTGGGACTTGTTTCAACATTTCTTTTCTCTTTTATTGAACTTATTTTGTTGCAACTTACGTTGAATGTTTCCAGTGTTCTTTGGATACTTTCCTTTGGCACACATTGTTGCCTTGTTTTTCAGTTCAGCTGTTTTATACAAAGTTTCAAGTCTATCTTGTATGTCTCCATGACTTATTAAATATTTTCTTGTTCCCCTGTACTATTGGCATCTTGAATTATTTTATTTTGTGTTTAGAAGTTTAATTATATTCCTGTACACTGTGGGAAATATTTATCCTTAGTATTTCATGGGATGTGCTAACCATCCGCAGTTTCCCAATTTTAAAAAATCTGAGGTAATCAGGATTCCCGCGCTCAGCACGGCTCTCCTGATTACCTGATTGGCTGAAAGGCTGTTGCTGTGCAGATGCACAGCGCGAGCCTTTTCAGCTCTGGCATTTGACTCCGGGAGGCTGCCGCATACCCACTAGCTTTGCTAGGTGGTTATGCTCATCCCTAAGACAAAGAAAGTTTGCAGATCATAGATTCCTGCAAACTCTGATGGGTACACACTGGTTCTGTAACAATGTTGTGACTTATTCTTGGCACATCCTTGGTCCCTTAAATATAACTGAACATTATTCGACTGTAAAGTAGTCATATATATATATATGGTTTTATCTCTTGGCCATAGTCTATTAATTTTAGGTGCATGCAACTAGTAAGAAAATATGCTTTGTCAAATGGTGTATGCCAGTGTTTCTCAACTTTTACAGAGAAGTACCCCTGCAGGTCTTGATTATTGGACTTTATTATTGGTGGCATTAAAGCATGAAATCAAAATACATACAAAGGATGTTACTGAACAAATGATGGATGTGGTCATCTGGCAAAGATTTTAAATAAAATATTAAATAAACCCCCATGACAGAAGTCCATTAAAACAAATGTGACTATCGGGATGCATCCTTTCACACTATTAGCAGGCTGGCACATTGTGCTAACATCATTTAAAAAAAAAAAAATAACATGTAAATAATCAGAGGCAGAGTAGGGCACTTATGGGAGAGTCATCACCGCTGAATAAAAATACAAGTTAACTTTAGTTATAGATTTTGAGGGGGTTCTTATTGCACTAAGAATAAAAGAACACTCCATAAGTAAAAAAAATAAAAATAAATACTGGTTTTAATGCTGGAGTTGTCCTTGTAATTTAAAACCACTATACTATAATATATATATTATAGTAGAGGAAAACTATAAAATAAAAAAATAAAGAATTGCTATGAACCATTAACTGCAGAGAATGAAAAATATGCATTATTTTATATAAACACAAATATTTTACATCAATTTGACAAATAAAAATGATTATAAATAATAAGAACTTTGGACAAGCAATTACGTAACATTTGCTTAAAATAAGAAAGAATGCACTTCTGAAAGATAAAATGCATTTGTTTTGTGAATAACAGGCATATATTCAAAGCAAAGTGCTTACCGTTTCTGCTTTCTTCGTCAATTGCAACTATGGTTGCTGGTGGACCACCTCTTGCAAGTTTACAATCTATAAGCAAAAGAGAAGTCAATATTTAATGAATGTATAAATGGAATAAGAAGTAGAGACGGTATAACCAGCAGGTAGCCATTTAGGTGTTGGAGAACCATGATGTCCATACCACATTGTCAGATTGTAGGCAAACGCCTCATGAGTGTTTTCAACCAAAACTACTTGATGGCTACCTGTTAGCTACACCTGTGGTAGAGCAATGTATCTGGTGTAATTATTGATTGATCGAGAGATGAAATTGCTGGTTTCCTAATCTTACAAGCTTAGAGCAATGCACACTAATGACGGCACA